TATGCAGTGTGTGTGTTGTATTGGTGTATGCAGTGTGTGTGTGTTGTGTTAGTGTATGCAGTGTGTGTTGTGTAAATGTGCAATCTGGGGGGGGAGGGGGAGGAAGGGGCATTTTAACATTAATTTTTTATTAATTTAATTAAATGTTTCTCCCCCCTCCCTGCTTACCTGTGTCCATGGAGGGGGGAGATTCCATCCCTGGTGGTCCGGTGGGGGGCCCCCCGGCTCCCTGTTACCGTCCGCAGAGGGGCCCAGGCAGCACACAGCTTCTCCTCTTCTAATAACTCTCGCGAGACCCGCGGAGCGTTGCCATGGTAACCGGGTCTCGCGAGAGTTATGAGAAGAGAGAAGAGAGGAGGAGAAGCTGTGTGCTGCCTGGGCCCCCTCTGCGGTAACAGGGAGCCGGGGGCCCGCGGCTGCACACATAGATAGCGAGATTCGCTATCTATGTGTGCAGAGAAACAAAGCGGGGCCCAGGACTGCCAGAGCAGTCTGGGCCCCCCAGGGCCGCCGGGCCCGTGACAACAGTCACGGTTGTCACCCCCTGATGGCGGCCCTGTCGTTGAGTAAAGTTTTAAGTTCACCGGTTGTTCGGGAAATTGAATCCGAAAAGAGTTCCATAACTGCAGCTACCTGGGGTCGGTCTAGCTCGTATAAGAGGAAAATCCCGGACGGTAAAGTGTTCGGGAGTTATTAACCGAATGGACGGGAACTTGGTGCGCTTCAGCGGTGTATGGCTAAATAAGTGTCCGAAAACAGTTCCAGAGGGTCGATGACCATCTACCGCTGAACGTTCGCCGATTTTAAAATTGCGACCGCCACGTGTTCGGCAAACGAATGTGGACCACCAAGCCTTTCATCAATAACCTTGCGGTTAACCGCAAGGTCTGGGTGGTAAATGAGCTGCACACGACCCTGGTGGGAGGTCGGGTGGTTCGGGAGTTTGTTCGTCTCTTTTACAAATACACGAAATAGCCAAACACATGAATATTATGACGAAATGCTGTTTCCCTGAGTCTGTCCAAACAGGGCTTTCGTCACATGACACTTACAAATTGTATTATAATATGACCAAAACCTACCGGGTCCTGTAACTTTGAGGACTCCTGTAGGCGGTATGAGGCTGCCACGGTGATCTGCAACTCGCAAGATTGACATAGTTCAGAACACCTTCTGTACATGGAGCAGCTGATCGGAGTGGCGCAGGACAGGAGACATTGTGGCTGCCATGCGGCTCCCCCTGAATCTGCAAGTGCTGCGCGGCAGCTCGAGGTATGACACTTATAGGTAGATGATAAAATTAATAAAATACTTGTGTGGAAAAAATTAAGTCTCGTTCCCTATTTTAATTCATGTTTAAAGGCTATATATACCCTAATATGCTTAAACGAACACTATAGCTTTATGAATACATATGTATTGAGAGTATAGTGCGCATGCACGGCAAAATGCAGCGCTAGGCTAGTCAGATGGTCTCTCTGAGAAAATATGCTGGATAGATCACTCTATTCTCTACATATGATGAGTTGGTGTGATGAGGAAGCTCCTGATGTAGAATTATTAAAATCCAATTATTAAGATACCATGGCCGCTGAAACAGGTTTCAATGATGTTAATCTATGGTTAGAATGGATGAAATATAATGCCAACAAACATAACAGAACCGCATGCTATGTGTGTGGTGGTGCCCGGCCGCACCTGGGCACTGTGCCTTTAACTTTGCCAGTAGATATAGAAGAATGTGTTCTGAGTCTTTTTGCCTATCACTACAATTTCAATAGGTCCATATGTAAAGCATGGACAGTAGAGTATCCTCTTCTAGTCAAAGATTGCAAACCCCCAGATGGTGTTACCGTCTATAAAGGTAATTATACCTGTTATGCTAATTATGATGGAATTGGTAAATTTGTGGGTAACTTCTCTAAAGGTTATTGTGCCACCTACAGAACTGTCTCTATGAACCTCCTACAATTCCACACTAGATCATTGGGGGATATTTACTGGTTGTGTGGGGATCTACAGCTGAGATCAAGAATGGATAAAGAATGGTGGGGGGAGTGTACTCTGGCTAAAGCAATCATGCCCATACATATTATCTCTGACACACACCCCGATACTCATGAGTCCAAACACTCACCAACCAAGGTAAAGCGTGAAGCCCCAGTAAAAGGCAGTTTTGACCCTCATATTTACATTGATGCCATTGGGGTACCTAGGGGGGTGCCCAATGAGTTTAAAACCAGGGATGAAGTTGCTGCAGGATTTGAATCACTTTTTACCATAGTCACTGCAAACAAGAATTTAAATTGGATAAATTACATCTACTACAACCAACAACGGTTTGTTAATTACACCAGGGATGCCCTTCAGGGTTTGGCCGAACAGCTGCAGGCTACGTCCCAAATGTCATTCCAGAATAGAATGGCTTTAGATATGATTCTAGCCGAAAAAGGAGGGGTATGTAAAATTCTGCCTGACACCATGACATGTTGTACTTACATCCCAGAAAACACAGGCCCCAATGGTAAAGTAACCTTAGCTATAGAAAAATTGAAAGAGCTCTCTGAGGAGCTAAAGAGGAACTCTGGGATAAAAGATCCCTGGGAGAGATGGTTTGGTTGGATGACAGGATGGCAAAAAGCTTTGATGCATATTGGTATAGCAATACTAATTTTCCTTTTTATCTTTGCTCTTCTCGTTTGTTGTGTCCTCCCTTGTCTGAGAAAGCTCCTCTTGAAGACTGTAGACCAAGCGGCACCCACTTACGCACACCTCACAGTTGATGACCAAGATTTCCAAAAAGTCAACTCGCCCTGTATACCGCTACAATCTATCCCGTTTATTGATAAAGTGCAAGAGTTCTAGGAAGGGACCAGCTTAGGGACAGCATCTGTCTGTCTGGGAAGTCTACCGTGCGGAGATGTGGTGGGTTAGCCACCTCGGGATACCCATGGAGTGAAGTGTTCGAGTGCCCAGCGGACAGATGAGTTAGCCAATTAGGGACAGACGAAGGGACAGCTTTGCACTTTGCAATAACACCTAGCTAGCGGGTCACGGGGTTTCTGTGCCTTTGGGCTAACACGTCTTCTGATACTAACAAATAAAGATTATCTTTTAGAATCTAACATTTCATAGGGGGGACTGATGTAGAATTATTAAAATCTTTACTGAACTTGTATTGAATAATTGTACTAACTCCATTTTTTAATCTCACACTGTGACAGAACTCTCCATTTTGTTCACCTTACATGACAGTATTCAATATAATGAATAAGAGATTGTATTTTCTCTCTCTAAGGACATAACTAGCCCCGGAGTTAGCGGATCTCCGTTGACTTGCAACATAGTATAATCCAAGGCCAGGAGAACAGCGACTAAATGAAATGTTCTATTCATAAAAGAACCTTGGACCAGACCACGAGACTGACATCACTAACTACATAAAATGATGCCCAAGCCCCCCCTTTCCACCGAGTAAGCCTCGTGCTAAAGAGCAATGACATCCCATGATGGGAGGGTGCCTCACTAGTCACTCAAATCTCTGAGCCAATTAATAATATTAATGGGTGGACACTGACATAGCCACTTAACATTTAACCCAATTAATGATGTTTATTTGTTATTATCTGATATTCAATGATGATGTCATTTTGCATATAAAAAGGCCTGCGTGCCCGCTTTTTAACTAGATGCTAATAAATTTCCTGAAGTGTTTTTAACCTGAACTGCATGTGTCAGTGTGAACTTACTTCTGCGTATACGCAATTTATTCATCTCAGATTTGGACAGGAACAGATAGACTTTTAAACATTTTTGTTTATTTCTAAATTAATCTACATCACTCCCATATCACTTGAGAAGATAAAATTTCTCATCAGCTTCGAAATAGACCTGTTATGTGTGGTTAGAGCTTTTAGCCTAACTTTTGGTTAGGACCTGGTTAAAATAATACTTTGTTCCGATTTTATGATTTTATCTTCATTTCTAAATTCATCAAAACCAATGAGCACACTGTAAAATGTGCATTCAATACTTGCATCAAAAGTTAATTCTGAGAAGCATAGCTGGGTAACTTATAGAAGCGTAAAGGAACACTCTGGTCACCATAAAAACTTAATCTAAATGAAGTTAAGGTAAGAAAAGTGCCTAGGGGCTTCCTGTTGACTGGCGTGTTCCTTATTCCTGTAAGGATTCTTTGGTAATCAACGTATTGGTGCAAACTACATGCACCAATCAGGTCTTTGAAGGTAACTTTTTGTAAATTCACCAAACATCCCTTGGTTTTTATTATTCGGAAGTACTACTGGCTAGGGGTGGCCAGTAAGTGTTCAAAATCAGTTTAACGGTTAAAGGTAAGAATGCCATGGTGATCTTATGGCCCCATAAAATTGACATGAAGTGGTACTGGCACGGTGAGCAGTCCTTTCATATTTTGTATATTGTAATGCTATTTCCTATTAGTTACTTTTTTCTTTTTTTCCCATTAGGATCTATGGAAAGAAACTATAATCTAGGAGGTGAAAGAGGAAAACGATAAGAAGAAATATAAGGACTGGCAGAGATTGCTGTTGATCCCCATAGACTTGAGATGTGGTACTTAATGCTAACTCCTAGAAATGCAGGAGAAACCGAATGTAAGGAACCAGAGTGGTGGACATATGGAAGAGGACATCCAGTCTCTTTCAGGATTGGCTAAAAAAGATGATTGTGACTTCCTGTTTATTCCAGTACTGGTTTAGAAGGTATCTGACCCTATAACATCCATGTTGGAGATAATTATGAGTCTCCTTCAGGACATGATCAGGAGCAGCTGTAGCCTCTTTCAAGAGCTGATGATGGTGACCACCAGACAGTATAGAAAACGAACAATCACATCTTCCGCCTGACCAAGTTGTAGAAGCTGATACCCAAGAACTATGTTTCATGCACATGCTATGGACCTGTGAACGTATCAACCTGCAGCACTGCAATGACATGCACACTCTTGCACTTTCAAGTTACTATCTAGATATATACTATTCTCCACATAAAAATCAGCACGCTATTACCACATAAAAATGAAGGCTGCGTACTCTTTCAATAAATCATCACATTAATATGTTTATTAGTTAAGTTAAATAGTTTGAAATGGTCCCTCTGAGCACTATAACTGCTATAGCTCATTATAGCAGTGGTTATGGTGCAGAGTCCATGTGACTTGTGTTACAAATATTTTGATTGTTTCACAAAAGCAGGGACTCTGGTGGCTTACCTACATTTTGGCCTCTCCGCAGCATCTGGGCTGAAGCAGAAGCGAGCTCAGACATTAGCCATCTTAATCACTGTGATACTGAGTTGCAATAGTTATAGTGCTAAAGTAACCCTTTAATCAGCCAGTCTAACATTGGCAGCAATGTTAATGCAGCATAATACAGTTTAATTAATTGGTAAAACTAGAACTTTTTTCATGCAAATAAATGTTATTAGATTTTTATAATAAAAATAATAAACATCTATATGTATATATATATAATAAATATTAAAATGAATCTGTCAATACGCACCACTTTGGCTTTCTCTTCCACGTTAATTAGTTTTGCTATAATGCCAAATGCAATGGACTTCCCATACACTGTGAAATGTAAATGTAAAAAAACTGTAAAATGCGTTGCCAGGTTAGTGTCATATACATTATTTTAATTCTTGCCAAAACCACTGTTACAGAGACTAAACTCCTATGTATATGGTGTACCAACTAAACAGTAAGTAAATTGCATAGATTAGATTTTAATTATACCTTCTTCCAACAAATTAACTTGTGCAACTACTCAACATAACATTAATAGCCAAATGTTATATATTTGGTCTTCAGAATGCAAATGTACATTTATCATGGATTTCTACTTTTCGTTAAACCAACACCAGGAGATGAGTCCAAGTTGACTTTAACGGTGGAACATCTCTGGATGTTTGCCCAGTTAGTTCTAATAAATTGAGATGCTTGAGGAACATGACAAAGCGTTCAGGGTGTTGCCTTGCTCTCCAATTTCCCAAGATCTCAATGCGATTGAGCATCTGTGGGATGTGCTGGAACAACAAATCCGATACATGGTGGTCCAACCTCGCAACTTGCAAAACTTAAAGGATCTGTTGCTAATGTCTTGGTGTCAAACACCACAGGCCATGTTCAGAGGTCTAGTGGTGTCCATGCCTCGATGCATCAGAACTGTTTTGGTAGCACGAAGGGGGTTTTAGGCAGGTGGTTTTAATGTTGTGGATTATCAGTGTATGTGTATCAATAATAGTAGTAGCATTAATATAAGAGACACAAATTTTTATATCTTGAGATAAAAATGATACTCACAGAGTTATTCAGTAAAGTGAGAATTTTGAGGAAATCAAAGTGAATTTAAAATCGAAGGCTAAAATAGTCAAGCTTGATGCATATCTGACTTGGACAACATTTCAATTTCTGCTATTTTGTCTTTTAATTTGAAATTCACTATGAATTCCTGACACTTCTTACTTTAGTGAATAACCCCTTTAAGATTTAATATGCGAAAGGCGAAAATAAAAAAAATTATATTTCTCCACCCTATTTGTAATGTGTTTTTTTGCAGTGCCCAGACTTTAATAAACTTTTAAACAAAAATGGAACATCACATAAAAAAATGTTTAGATAAATTATAAGTGATTTTCAAGGTTATATACAATGGTATAAATTCCATAGTGACAGCTACCCAAGCTAACTGTGTAACCCAAAAAAAAAATAAAAAAAAAAGTATGCCAAAAATCATTATAATATTAATTAGATTTGAAAATAAACATGTAGTTGTTGGCATTTTTTGAATTTAGTTGGTATAGAAGTAGCGACATCACAGGATTCTATAGCTTGACCAGTGCAACTGTCACTCCTCAGCTAGCTTTCAAGCGATTCAGAGGAGTTTTCGTGCTGTTATTCAAAAATTGTAAACGAACAAATATGGAAAATCCAACAACCACCGAAACATCATGTGGAAAGAAGAGGACAGGCAAGAAGAGGCAACGGGAGAAGACCGAGGAGAAGAAAGGACCAGACGGGAGTGAAACAGAAGAGCATTTGAAGAGAAAGAAGAAATGCGAAGGTAAGAAACAGTACACTGGAGATTGAGAAGGGGGATCCATTCTATTAGAGAATATTTAAATTCAGAGCGGTTTACTGTATATTTAATGTCTCAAAACGCAGTAATACTCCTCTTATGTGTTCTTTAATCACAGTTACCTAAACTAACTTAACACTGATGCCTAACTTTAGTAGATTCCAAAAATCTACTTCCCCCTTTTGGTTTTCAAAATATAAGGATTATTGTTGGAAGTGAGACGTTCTCAGTAAGATTTGAGCATTTGTTCATACGAGGTAAGAACATTAAAAATATATGTATCTTATGGTTAAAACCTAGTCAATCAGGACCCGAAGTAAACATTTCAGTACGTACTGTGTCAAAATAACAATAAAAAAAGTTTACATAATACAAAACACATTTTTAACTAAAAAGAACTTAGACGTTAATCTTTTTTTACATATGATGTTACATATGGACTATTTTTACTCTCCCAGAAGGAGCCACCATCCATCCTGTGGTTTCTCCAATGGAGACCAGCATTTCTCTGGAGAGATTTGCCATCCATAAAACCCTTGGACAGGGCAGCTTTGGCAAGGTATGTAATATCCACCAAATGGTGCCATGTACTGAGAATTTTTTTATGGACAGAAATGAATAGTGAAAGCCTAATATAACACAAGAACCAGTTTAGAATAAAACGGAACCTAACTGTACAGATCATTTTTAAAAGTTGTGTATTTAAAAGGTTTTCTTAACAGACATGTATCGGAGTTATTCACAAAAGTGAACATTGTTGAGAATTCAAACTGAATTTCAAATTTAAGGCCAAAGTAGCCGAACTGAAATTATAGTTGACTTGGAAAATCTTTCCAGTTTGACTAATTTAGCCTTAAGTTTGAAATTCATTTTGAATTCACTTGACATTTCCGGCTTTTCTTACTTTAGTGACTACTCCTGTTTGTGTAACTGTCAACAATTATTTAGATTAAAATTATTTCTCTACTTAAAACGATATAATTGTACTATACCCCTGTACAATACATTGTGCCGTATGTATTTTAAGTCCAGTTCTGAGGGTTCCAGCCAGCACAGCTGCTAAAATTATAAACATTTATTTTATAAACCGTGAGTTGTGCGGACCAGAGAAAGTTAGGGGAACATTCACAGGTAACCAGCTGAACCATAGTTTTCGTGTAGTTAGATGCGAACGGAGACCGGCTCTTGCTACTGATTCTATGGAACTGTAACTCGGATACCTCCACATGGCAAGCCGGTCAAACTTCCACACGATGCGACACGGAACCTACCGAACGGAAATTCGTGAGATTTGGATATGTGACTTCCAGTATCCTCAGCTATCCAGGGATGTTAAAAGTATATTTGTATGTCTTATAAAAAGTATGTTTCTGAAATTGTCATAAATTGTAATGTTTCTGGCCAGCAGATAATTGAGCTTTGTGTATTGTAGAAACTCAATTATCTAGCCTGGCCCAGAGGAGGAGTTTTGTGTTGCATAAATTGTGAGTTCTGTGTGCCAGTAAATCAGTCTTGTTCCAGCATTAAGCTTTGGCTCATGTGTGGATTATTCGGCGATTCCAGGGATATTTCTGCTTATGGAATATTGAGTGCTTTTCTTTTATGGGAATAAGGGAATGCTTGACGGGGATATTTTCTACTACCGTCACAGTTTGTATTATTCATTTTATAAAATTGTGCCTTTCCTCTGATTGCCAGCAAAAAATAAAGAATTATATATATATATATATATTTTATGTTTATTGTTTTTTTTTATAAGTTTATTCTCCCAGTCCTGCTTGTTACCTGTGGCCAGTGAGGGGGGAGACTACTTTCCATGGTGGTCTGTTTGCCCTGTACAAGCAAGCTTCCCTCGTTCTGGCTTTAATAGTGAAGGAGGACCCAGGACATGCTTTCTTCTGTTTCTGAAGGGTCCTTTCTTCAACTATCGCAAGCCTCCAGCTGTCAAAGCGTTGCAACGGGTTACAACGGAGAGAGAGCTGGAGAAAAGACACCCACACGATGCTCTACACACACATACATATGTATATAATAGACACATATACAGATACTGTATATATATATATACCAATTAAAAAAAAAAGTTCATAGTGTATTATCTGTCAGCCTTGGTTTTGCTCATAAGTCAAAGTAGTCCTTACTTTCGATTGTGAAATAAAATGAAACAAAAAAACAAAAAACAACCAAATCTAAAAATAACAACTTTGTATTAATTTCCATTTGTCGATATAAGTCATCTAAGTGTGAGAGTAAATGAATACACAGTACTTCCATGATGATTTTTTTCTCCTTTCTCTACAGGTTGTTTTAGCATCTGACCAGATAACCAACAAATGGCTCGCTATGAAGATCATCGATAAGCAACACCTTATTGAAAGCGCAAGCAGCTGCCTAGTTGAACGCCGGGTGCTGGAAATTGCTGCCGGGTGCAAATTCCTGACCCATGCATATGCCACCTTCCAGACAGAGGTGCCAACATTATTACCTTATATCAACCCCCTTTTTAAACAGGTACTTGAAAGGAACACTCCAGGCACCATAACAACATAATCAGTATGGTGTTATGGTGCCAGGTCAAAGGCTTACTTTTATGGGTTAAATCGTTAATGAACAGTTAACCCCAAAGAGCTGAATTAATGACTGTTTAACTCTGACTATCTCCAGGGGTGTTTTCAGGAGATTCCCATTCACAACATATGGATTTCTCTCAAGTTGCTTTGTGAATGGGGAACTACTGATTGGCTTTAACCCCTTAAGGACCAAACTTCTGGAATAAAAGGGAATTATGACATGTCACACATGTCATGTGTCCTTAAGGGGTTAAACCAGCATACTGAGGCTTCCTGCTTCAAGATTCAGAAAAAAGCAGAAAGAGAGCTTAACAGTGCTGGATTCAACTCTTTGGGGTTAAACCATTCATTAAGAGTGTAACCATCAAAGGTAAGCCAGTGCCCATTTCCATTAAGTTGTTATGATGCCCAGAGTGTAGTGGTTATGGTGTCAAAATGGCTTTACATAATGAAGGATTTTCCCAGAATCCATAGCCCAAACCCTCTTCAGCTGCACATATAATATGAAAAACAACTTCAGCATTAACACATGAGAACCAAACCAGGATGGCAGTCACTGGCTGAGAGAGCTCAGTATGAGACGATTGCTGCGTGAGATTCCTATGTCTATACACAGCTATAAAATGGACTCTGCAGCTTTAGATTTCATGTCTGATGGGGATTAAATCATTATTTTCATTGGACTGTTTAGAGATTTGGGAGTTCTCAGCATCTCTTAGTTGAAGAGAATGTAACTTCAGAATAATCACAACATGAAGTTGACTCCAAATACATCTATTGTTTTTATATATTTTTGGATTTATTGTCACCATACAAATTCTTACTGGGATGTTTTCTAGTTTGCATTTCCACCTACCATAGAAAGAGTACTTGGGGCCCGTTGACTATTAATTGATATTTTGTAAGTTTCCCTGACATTATAAAAGGCATGTCAGATCACCATGGGTTTTTGGAACAGATATCAACAGAGCTGGATAAAGACTGCCCAGGACCATAACCTTTACAATAAAATTGTGTTAGCAAAGATGTGGAATGCAATGACTCTAATACATTATTATTATTATTATTATTATTATTATTATTATTATTGTAGGCATTTATATAGTGCCAACTTTGCAGTACTTTACAATATAATAAAATGAGGAAATGTAACAATAAATGAGACAATTACAAAATGTTAGAGGAACAGTAGGTTGATGAGGGCCTTGCTCAAATGAGCTTACAGTCTAGAGGACATTGGGTATAAAAACACAATAGGAAGAGTATCAAGGGGTATAGCAACCAGACAACAAGGTGGGAAAGTAGCAGAACTGGAGGTGAGAGTGGAGTCTGGCCCTTTAGGAGAGACAGGTTTGTGAAACAGAAGTTACTCTGGCCTTTATCATTATTTATAATTATATATTACAGGTTCTATATTGTTCCCTCCAGAACCTGTAAAAGTAGTTTACCTCTAACCAGTGGCAAGGTGATCTCCTCCCTGCAGCTCTGCTCTGCCTCGGGTAGATGATCACTATTGAGAAGCACTAGAGAAGTACAGGTCCTTGGCAATGCTTCTCACACAGAAGCACTGAATTCAATGTTTCTCTGTGAAAAGTCTCACATCTGCTGTTTCCTAAGGCACAGTGCAATCAGGAGGGTGCAACTTAGTAGCTTTATAAAAGAACAGATTTCTCTTGAAATCAATGTTTTTATAAAGTAAGAAATGAACAGCAATGTGAAATGCTTTAAGTGTTTGGAGTGTTCCTTTTAATACATTTAGAACCTTTGTATGTTTGATTTTTATTACTATTATTCTTATTCTTATTATCATCATCATCATTATTTCCATAGCACTGGTGTGTAGCCAGCAACCACATTACTGCCATACAGAATGAAAGTATACTCTAAATAGTCTAACCTTTATTCTGCTGCATCTTCTTAATCAGGACCGCCTTTTCTTTGCCATGGAGTATTTAAGCGGAGGCGACCTCTATGATTATCTTGATAAGAATGGAAGACTGGATCTCAGCACCACAACGTAAGATGGCGTCTTAAAGTCATAGAAGACAAAGGGAGTATGGAGTAAAGACTTTTGCAGGATAGAATACAGGGTGCAGCAGAACCGATTAAGCAGTTTTGAGGGGTTATAAAAAAATTAACTGAGGTATATAGAGAAAAACAGTTTTTATTTTCGAATTCAGCAGTAAATACCATTTTATATAAATTAAGTTTTGAAAATAATGTCCTTGAGAAGGCTGCCATTAGCAGCAACACACTGTTGGAGACGGTTTCTGAAGTTTTGTACAGCTCGTTCACACATATCGCGGGGTATGGCATTAACTTCTTCAATAATCTGCTCCATAAGCTCTGGTAGGGTGTGAGGGCAATGTTTGATTACTTTTTCCTTCAGATATCCCCAAAGAAAAGAAAACCATTGAGTGTATTTCAGGCTGTGTGGGCTGTAGCCCCATCCTGTTGGAAGCAGAACTCCCCTAATTCCTCTTCTTCAACAATCTCTTCCATTCTGGGCTGTAGAAAATTTTCAAACATTGAGACATAATGTTCTCGCCTTCACTAGTACAGGCCTATCACTCCGAATTGTGATGCACCACACCGTTAGTTATGGGGAATGTAGCAGTCTTTCATGAATCATTCGGAGGTTATATTGAGCCCAGTAGCGGAAATTCTGTTTTTTCACAGCTCCACTGAGATAAAAATGTGCCTCGTTGCTACTGAAGAAAGCTGCTGCGGGCGGGTCCTGTGCAAGCATTTGCTCACACAGATTTCTGAGTTTGGCATAATCTGCTATACTCAATTCTTGAGCCAAAATCATCTTGTAGAGATGAAACTGCAAATCTAAATGAAGAATCCTCCTCAGACTGCAGTGTGACATTCCCAAAGCAACACGAGCAAAATGTCCTCAATTGCTGCTCTCACCAGCTGCACATTTCCGGTGTTCTTATGGACCTGCGTCGGCCACGTGTACCTCTTCTAAGTGTGGTACCAGTTTCCTACAACGGCCTAACCCATGACCGAATTGTGTTTGCATTAGGAACGGCGTTATTGCGCGTAATGTTGAACCATTGCCGTAAAGCTCTTTGCGTTGCGATCACAGATTGGTTGTTGTTGATGGACGGAGCACAATGAGACTAGGTGTACCTGCCTCCCCCCACTACAGCCCGAGCATTGACCCCCTCAAAAATGCTTAATCGATTCTGCTGCACCCTGTATTTGCTAAATAAATTATAAGGCATTAGGTTTCAAAGAGAAGGTTTGTAAAAGTGGGTACAAAGAAATACCACCATTAAAGGGGAACTCTAAGCACTACAATAATTTCATCTCACTAAGGGTTCAATGTAATATCTTTGGATAGGCTTTTCGAATGATTTAATTTTCTGAAAAATATTTTAATATTTAGATTTTTTTTTTAGAATATTTAGTTTTTTTTTATTCTTTATTGTTATTGTGCACAGTTGTATATAAGGATTACGAGACATATCAAATAAAAGCCAATGCAGCAAGAACAATTGCAATAAATGACGTCAAGGGGCCTGCACATTTTACAATTTATACAGCATGAATTAAACTAATCATGTCCAAGTACTAAGTTAAATGAAGGCTGGAGGACAGACAGCTTGTTAAAGTCATGGAGGTTAATAAAACAAGAGATAATTAGCATCAACATGAAAACATGCTTAACTTCTGTAGGGAGTAGAAACACCCTGTCCACCTAGGTAAACGTGGCTAGGAGATACTGAAAAGTAAAACCGCGAACGAGGTCATGAAGTAAATACCACTGGTCTGGGGCATTATGATTCGGTTAGCAGGAGTAATGGTAAGTTCCCGAGCATAGAACTTTGCCCAGAACTCTGCACAAATGCAGTCAGAAGTAGCTGGTCCGTGTGCAGAAGCATTTGTGAGAAGGTGCATATAACGGAAGGCCCAGTAGCCATCTTGAGTACTAGGCCTCGATCTAGTGATACGCCAGTAGGGTTGGATCTTGTCAAGGTGCCCACATAGATATTCCAGTGGAGACCGAGATATTCCCCCCGGTCCAAAAGGGGATGGGGAATAGGGCTCGGAGTCAGCAGGTGTCACTTAAAGGCTGAGGATCGTCCGCCTCCCCCTCCAGGGTTATGGTCTCAGGTCACATGGAAGCCTAGCAAGAAATGTGGCCAACGGATTCAGGTACAAAGGTGTCAGGTAGTCAGCAGGGTATTTCCCAAGGCCAGAAAAAGGAGCCAAATAAATTGGTCTCTTTGAGGAGCTGCAGCACCATGCGACTGTCTTGGTCGGCTGTCAGGCCCCGCCCCCAATATTTTGATTTTTTTTTTTTATATTGTAGTATTTTTTTTAAAAAATCACTCTAAAGGTTTATTAAAAAATATTAAATCGGGGGGGCGGAGTCTGACCGCCAAGCTGCACGGACGTGGGGGACAGGAGCTCCGGTCGGGCGGGCAACAAACCTGGCACAAACGGCAAAAACGAAGCCCAAAGACCACACAGGGGGCACCACCCACGTCGGGGGAGCACTTCAGTATCGGGTGATACAATTCCAGAGCCAAACAAAAGAAAAGCCGACTGCGGCCTGCTGGAGTGGAAGCCGGGGAGAGGCGGCCGCTCTCTCCGACATCAGACCCCCTGGGAAACTCTGCGGACTACCTACCCTCCCCCCCCTGGACCGGGGGGGACATCCCGGTCCCCATTAGACAAGCGGACCAAGACAGCAAACAAGTAATCTCTACCACACAGCCTGCTGGTGCAGGACACAACCGAGGCACGTCCAAGATGGCCGCCCAGCATGGTACAAGGAAGAGGGCGGGCGGTTACCTGCCCTTTCATTCCCTGGAAGCACTTGACCGGCTATGCCTAAGCTTCTGTATGACACTATGTGACAGGGGAATACCCTACAAACGAGCGGCCCACACAGTGGCCTCGTGGATTCGACCGATTACCCGCAGGCGCCACTATGGACTCCCACCTCAGACCTTTCAAGTGGCTGACAGGCGCCGACAGTCGACAAGGCGGGTGGCAGAGCCTCACCATGAGGGTGCACGTACCCGCTCCCACTCTCAACAGAGCGAGACCGCCGGGCAAACCGTATGCTCCAGCAACTTCTCGAACCAGCGAGACGCCAGACAGCACCACAGGGACATAGCCGCATGCCACGCCGACACGCAAACAAAATCCCTGCGGAACACGGCCGAAACTGGACTGAGGCCCAGAGACTCATGCTACCCGGGCGCATGCACTGGCCCCTTAGCACACAAGGGTGGGACAGCCAAACTGGAAGCCCACGCATACAACGCTCCTGAGAGCACGCTTTCCGAGGAATGTACCCTACCATCAGCAGGCATTGGGTGAACTGATCTTATGAAAAGGGACTTAAAGCAGGCAGTTGACCACCTATCTTCTATCTCCACACGGCATCTTATACTTCTCACTCACATAGTCAGCCAGCACAACCTATGTTTACTACCCTGTTCAAACCTGATGTCTCTAATGTAAAAATGTGCTTGTTGTGCTTTCCTTGTTTTAAATGCGCATACAATTAAACAGCTAGCCTTCTTTACACCCTAGGTGCAATTCGCAATGCTCTATACATGTCCAGCTTAACAAAAACGCGGTTTTATAGCTTGAGATTTTCATATAAAATACAGCGATGACACTCGCTATAATCAATAATTAACTCACTTTGTCTAACCAGCATGTGCCTAGCCTATATTGTTAGCCATAAGTTGTACGCTTTAGGACACGACAGGCGAATTGCACAGTGTTGTTTTTCTCATAAGCATACAAGCCGGTTGATCTCACCACGAGGCCTCAAGCTAGTCGCACTAACTTAGCTTAAACCATAATGTTAATAGCTTGCTTGTTGTATCGTTACCTTTTCCACAAAAAAAAAAAACTGTATGCATGTCCACCTTGCCACAATACTGCCATCATATGTCTATAAAAATTGAGCCTGTCAATGCTGTTGTGGCGACACAGGCACTGTTGTAACTACCTGCATACCAAAAAAAAAAGAAAAAAAAAAATATTAAATCAATTGAAAAACCTAACCAACAATATTAAGTCGAGGCCTAAATTGCTTTTAGTGTTTGGACTCAAGTTCCATTGCACTGTCCCTCCATTCAGTGTTATAACATTTTCGAGCAGTGTAGCAATGAATCATGGTCTCTGGCCACCCACAATCCAGCAGCTACTAGCAGAGATTACACTTTTCCTTCTAACTATTCCAATACATACCAGCAATGGTGGCTGTGATAGCCTGAAAGTCATAAACTGACACTCTCTGCCAATCACTGCCACCCATTGCTGCTCAGGCCGAGGAAATGGACTAATGGGGACTTTCACTTAGCATTAAAACACTAAAATCTGTTGTCTCTCGCTCTGGCTTGTATGAAGAAAGGACACATAGATTTATGGGTTTCTATAGATAAATATAACAAAATTTGGGGAACTAGGGTGCCCTACTGGTCCACAACAATAAAGTGTCTCTCATACTCTTCCTTACAAGTCTAGTTCCCCACTAATCAAGGGTACTTAGCAGCTTACTGCATTCATACTTCCGTTAGGCAGTGACCATTTCTCAAGGTTGTGTTTAATAGTTGCCCCAAGAGCCCCACTTCAATTTATGTCCTCCTGGGAACAACCTACAAAAATCCTGACACCAAAACATCGAGGCAATCGAGCCAAAACATTGAACAATCTCACAAAGTGGTGCAACATTACTCAAAATTTCAACAGGGTCTACCCTAAGACATCGCCCTCCTGTTGGAGGTGCCTAATTTTGGTCGGATCAATACTGCATATATTTTTGGAATGTCCTTTCATTGTTCCTTTTTGGAAACGGATACACGAGGCCACTACTTCCATCACAGGTGACATGATGTCCTCTATTCTGACTTGGATTGCTGTGATAGTGATCTAACCCTTGTGGGACCTCTGTGCCTGGCCTGTATAAGCAGGTACGGTCACTGCGGACAATCCTCCTCAGATAGCTGAACTCACCAATACTGGTTTCATTCAAAAGCTTGTTTATTCTGAACATCACACAACAGGAATACAGCAAAATGAATGGATTTCAGTATTATGTGGTCAAAAGATGATGCTTTCCTTAGCTTACCATGTGGGATACAAGAGTCCCAGTTACATGAGGCAAATGCAAGCAGCCATGACACAG